AAAAAATGCACTTATTTTAAGAATAAATGACTTATCTAGATTTGGATTTTTTCCAGTGTAAAACTGGTTGATGAATGATGACTTTATTCTCGTAATATAAACATTTTTTTTCTCGTAATGTTACGACTTTATTCTCGTAATAGAAGAAAAAAATCTCTAGCCTGGCCCTAATACTCCGTCGTATTGTTCGTTCAGATGTGATTCATGAAAATGTGAGAAAAAAACATTCAGTTCTTTTCTTTAGTCAAAGATGAATGACCAGCTGATTAATCAGCTCCATTAGAGCAATAAGATCTTTAAATCTTAAAAAAAGCTGTTTTGTTCGCAGCATTTTAATTTCTCTTTTAATTAGAAATTAATTAGACTAAATGATTTTTAAATAAATGATTAAATGAGATTAAAACAGCTTTAGTCACTTTGCTGAAGCTGTTTTTAAATTTCACCCAAATAAAGGCAAAAAATAAACTTTTTAACAACACTTTATTTACACAATTCAAACAATAGAATCAATTACCGATGTGAAAATCATTAAATGAGGAGCTCGTTAAATTTTAGTTGTCCTTCATCTGATACAGTACATAAGAATTTGTTAACTGAATAAAATCCTATAAAAATCCTAAAGAAAAGTTGAAGCAGCTGCAGCCTTTGCTGCGGTTATAAATCACAAAATGTGAGCAGTGTCCTTGAAGCTGCTGAGGAACGTCGATGGGCAGATTTCCCACAAAAAGGAGGAGCCGTTTCGCCGATGGCGCCGGACATCGATATCCTTCCAGAGAGGATTCTCACGGAGTGGGTAACACCCTGACAATAAAGGCTTTGTTGACCCCTCTCAGCAGAATACAGATACCTGTCATTTCATCCACAGGATATGGAAGCCCATTACTGCCAATTGAAAGTAAAACAAATGGAACATGTTTCGACATCATTATGAGGTTTAAAGTCATCATTTGTAGTCGTGATTATGACATACTGCGTATAATGACTTTAAATAATTACAGGTGTTTTTTTACTTTCATTTGGCAGAAATGGGCTTCCATAGTTTAAAGCATTTCTTGCCTAAATAAAAACAAACTATGAATAAATCAGTGTTATTTCTGCCCTGAAAGCAGAGAACTGGTTACATTAAATTATTTGAGTTTGTTCAGTGATGCTCATGAATGAGAAGCATTGGAAACAATATGGAGTCATTTGTGATTTCATTTACCCTAAAACCCGTATAA